ATGATAAATATATAAACCCTGTTGTGTATTTTAAAACATTTAGTTTATTAGTACTACTGCGTGACTGGTATAAACCATGTAATCCAAATGGATAGAAATTCTATATGCCATTCAAATAAATAAATATAAAATTTTGGCCTACATTTTTAAATAACGAATGTGGAGCTGCAATGCTGATGGCATGACACAAACACCCAGTCCCAAACACTTCACTAGCAACTTCCCTGAGATATAATAAGAAAAAAGTCAATTTCACTATTATTATTGCTCCCATCCCAAAACTCTGGTGGGCAACTCGTCCTGCTACAGTAATACAGGCATAAATGATAAATCAGATCATACCTACTACATTTCTGAGTGAATGGACATGTTTTTTGCATGGCGGATGATAAAAAAAACATAAGCCTATCTTCTGTGAAAAGATGATTTTATCATATTTATCTGTTGAAAAAATAATTAAAAAAAATTAACGTCTAGGCAGTAAGCAATAGCCTAGGAACAACTTAGTGGACAATTAGCAATAACCTAACAATGGCGTTGAAACTGGGAATACTGGCAAAACTGTCCGTCCAACTCCAGCATCATGAAAAGTAGCAAATAAACTTGATTTTTTACAATGTTTCACATGCAGAACAGTTTCCTGCATTATAGGTTAAAAAGACTGCATTTACATCCTCAAGCAATTGACTTCATAACATAATTTTTATCATTTCCCAAGTGAAATTTAGTGTGCTATCACAGAAATAACTGCAGGGGCTCTCATGGGCTAAAAGACAACAAGAACAAAAGCGGTGGAGACAAGATCATTTTTTCCGAATCAAAGTTTTTGGTAACACTATATTTTACAGTGTCCTTGTTACACGTTAGGTACTTAATGTAGTCATAACAGTAAATTCTGTATAATTACACGCAACTAACAATAAACCAACCATATTCCTAACCCTAATCCCTAAATCGTTGTTAATTAATATTACTCGGTACCTAATATATAATTACACTGCAACAAGGGCACTTAAAATAAAGTGTAACCAAGTTTTTTGTTGTTGTTGTTTTCATCAGGCTACAGAAAACAAAAGATATGATTAGATATTTAAAAATAGATTAATTATACTTCAAATAGCATAAGGTGTTTTAACTGGTTGGTAGCATCAATAATCCAAGATGATGTTAGTATGTTAGTTTCAGAGCATATTCTTTTATCAAAGGAATAGTTCACCCAAAAATGAAAAATTGCTGAACATTTACTCACTCGCAGGTCATCAAAGATTATGATGAGTTTGTCTTTTAGCATCACATGTGAGCCATCAGAATGAGAGTCCAAACAGCTGATAAAAACCATAACAATAATCCACGAGTAAACCACACAACTCCAGTCCATCAGTTAACATCTTGTGAAGTGAAAAGCTGTGTGTTTGTAATAAACGAATCCATCATTATGGCATTTTAACTTTAAATCATTGTTTCTGGCCAAAATACGAGTCCATAATCCATAATAACTCTTTCTCTGGTGGAAAAGTCCATCCCCTGTTGTCCTCTCATATCAAAATCCACCGACATACATGTTTAGAACTGTTTCCGCTTGTAAACTGTGCTTGATCTGTGCATATTTCTCTCTTTATTCAAACGAGAAAACTTTTTCACTGAAGGAAGCTTTATTTGGATTATAGACTCGTATTTTAGCCAAAAGCATTGGTTTGAATTTAAAAACATCTTGATAGATTTGTTTATCAGTATAAACACACCGTTTTTCGCTTCACAAGATGTTAATTGATCGACTAGAGTCCTGTGGATAATTGTGATGTTTTATCAGCTGTTTGAACTCATTCTGACGGCACCCATTCACTGCAGAGAATCCATTGGTGAGCAAATTATGTGAAGCTAAATTTCTCCAAATCTGTTTACCGATAAAGAAACAAACTCATCTACATCTTGGGTGGCCTGAGGGTGAGGACATTTTCAGCATTTTTCTTTTTTGCATGAACTATTCCTTTAATAATCTATACTATCCCAGCAATAGGGTTTGACATAGTCTGACATAGTTCCTGTAGGCACAAATACATACACACTGTAGGCATTGCAGAGCTCTCGGCCAGTTTCAGTTCGAATACACAGAGACGAGAGAGCTCAGACAATTATACTCTCCACAAATTACCCTTGATTAAGCAGCAGAATGCCAGCTGCAGAGCAACAACACCCAGAGATTCTCCCTTCCTCCTGCTCGCTCATACTGAACCAGTCATTCCCTCAACATCCACGGCACATCCCAGTGCTTTCACTCCATCTCAAGAAGAAGCCTAACTGTAAACTCTGCGTAAATATTTACATAATTACAACCCCCCCGTGGAGAGAATTCTGCATAAATGTGGTTTTCCTAAAAGAGCGATTTGTACAAACAGCTAAATGTTTTCGAGCTCCCAGGGCAATATTACTTCCTACCAATGCTGTGCATCAAACAATAAATGACATTATAAATTAATCCAACGCCACAGGTAGAACAATCACTTTTTTTTAGAACAAGCACAATGCAGTCAAACACCAGAACCAGTCAAGCGGAGAAAGAAACAGAGACTGAAGCAAACAACGGGAAAGACTTATGGGAGATTTCATGGGAAGAGATCGCTGATGGGTTTTACCTCCATCTGCTGTGCATTGTGAAATAAACTGATACTAATGTCTCTTCGTTCTAGCAGTGATGTCTAACCTGTCATGAATAATACAGGCCTGAAGTACATGTTAGTGCCACTCAGGGGGGCTTTCCCTTGGCTTGCACAGGCAGAAAATGGAACAGGGAGGCAGAAACAGGTCGACTCTCCCACAAGGAATGAATGACACTGATTTGCCTTTCTGCCTTGCTTTTCTGGCCCCTGCTCCTTTCAGGCGATGAATGCATACAGACAGACAGATAGATAGATAGATAGATAGATAGATAGATAGATAGATAGATAGACTAATTTTAAACTGTGACTCACATATGATGAGGCAGACTAGAAATATTCAGGGTTAGACTACATATGAATGATGCAGGTGTAGGAATGAATGAATGCTTCATAATGCTTACTATTAAACGCCATCATGGGAATCATGGACAGCCTGTTGCAAGCACCCCCGCCTGTTCTTTCTTTCCATGCTTTCGAGGTTAACACGATTACCAACACCTAGCAACTACTAAGCAGCCCTCTGCATCCACACGGCCGAAATTTGGTGTTAAAAATGGCAAGCCATTTCAAACACGACCTCCCAGTATTGCGCTGCCAGCGTAATCGGGCGCATTGCTAAAACCGGCCACCTGTTAAGCATAAACTTCACAGAGTGCATGTATAAACGATGCGTATTTCAACGAGTCGGTGTATGCAGGCTTACCTTACAGCCTTCGTGTCTGTGTTTATTCTCCTCGAGCCACGGGCGACTGTCAGAGGACAGCGGGCTGCTTTTACTCCGCTGCGAAACGGAGTTTCTGGCTCCCTGGCATCTATCAGGCGTCCACGCTACATTCCGCTGCTCGCCTGATCTCAGGCTGTCTTTGTCACGGTGGTGCTGCTGCAGCAAAGACGGCTGCTGGCTTCTCAGCTCCGCGGATCCCCTCACGCAGCAGTTGGGCAGGCTGCTCCTCAGCAGCCGCTGCTGTTGAACCTGTAGCTGGAGGGAAGGTGGAGGGTTGTGATGCTGCAGCTGTTGCTGCTCTTGCAATCCGCAGCTGCACGAACAGTGATCTTGTTTGCAATTCGCAGTTTTGGCAGCCCCTCCAACACTCTGCTCCCGACTTGGGGAGGGTTTGGAACAGTCTGCGAGACTCGGGTTGCTCCTTTGGCTTTTGACTGGTGCTTCTTGACTGAAAGGGCTGGGCAGGTTCTCTTGGCTCTGTTTTGGCAAGGGGTGTGCGGTCTGTCTAGGGCCACCCCTGTGCTCCGCGTGGTGGTGGTGCTGATGGACGGCTCCCGAGTAGCGATGCTGCATCCCCGCCTCACCTGCGGCGGAGTGCCGCTTTGCGTTGCAATGATCCGGCACTCTTTCGCTGCGCGCAGCCCCGGTGGAGTCAAGAAGGCCCGTTTCATTGGTAGGTTTGACTAAGACAAGCCTCATCACGTCACTATGGAGTTATAGGGAGCCCCGCCTTCATGTGACAGTCCAAGTGTTTATATGAATGAGTATATTAAGAAAAGTGCTCAGTACGCGTTTGCTATTTGAGGCGGGTGTGGGGAACGCAGACGCGCCGAATTAGGGCTAGAACCCCCCTAAAGGAAATCGAAACAAAAAGGTTGGGGCGTCTTAGTTCAAATACATCGTCATATAACTGCAGGTTTAACGGGAACAAACGCTAACAAATAAAAGTTGTGTTCGCCTGAAAGTGTAACCATAGCAACAGCAAGCAGCTCGAGCGATTCCATTGAGATCTGACGCGTGTAAAGGGTGAGACAAATTGAGCACTTTAAGATTTAGATATCACTGGAAACATTGCTGTTTGTTTAAAAACACATTTAGATCATTGTCATTTAGTTAAATATTCCTCTTCTGCGCAAGAGAAACCTCGGCCGATTACGTCGAGGTCTATTTGTTTAATTAATTCAAAATCGTCGACCATGGTGCCCATCTAAAAAGTCCATCTACTTGGGGTGGTGGTAATGGCTTAATGGTGAAGGATCTAGGTTGCTAACAAATCCTGCCAGTAAAGGTGACTCGGGAATTGGAGAGATACTAAAATCACAGTCCTGATTTGGCAACATTTTACTCGTGGCTTTTAAATGAAGTTGGTCAAGGTGAATTGTCAGCGCAGTAATTTTGCATGAGATGTATCGGCAACTAAAGTTTGGCCATTTCGATAACATCAAATTAAAACACTGTGTAGAAACGACAGATTGTAATCAGTTAAAAAGTATAATAATCTTATTATATAATGATATCATTTTTGCAATAATGAAAAAAGGCCTAATAATTATTTTAAGTTTTTTAAAAACAAGTTTATTACAACTTTCTGTGAGCTGATCACATATCTAATCTTAATAGGTCAATTTGATGGTCAGGTTGTCATGCATCTCCAAGTGACCTGCAAAAAGATCAGAGAATAAATGCACATCAGTTGAAATGAAATCACTCGGTGTTCTCAAACTATAAGTGTGAAGTGCAGTGAAGTGACATGTGGCCAAGTATGGTGACCCATACTCGGAATTAGTTCTCTGTATTTAACCCATTCAAGTGCACACACACAGCAGTGAACACACACCCGGAGCAGTATAAGCAATTTAAGCAATATATAAGCAGTATAAGCAATATAAACTTCTTGCATTCTATTTTATTCGTTCTGTCAACACATGCACCTAAACCAATATTTAAAAAGCCTTGAAACTCAAGAGTAAAGTTGTTTTACAGGACTGAGTGCTGATGTCAGTGAGGGTGATGCCAAAGTTTGGAGCTGAACTTTGGAGTGGATCTGGGGCACAGATGAAGAAAGCTGGTAATTTGATCTTTTTCATTAAGTAATTAGTCCTGGAGACCTGTATGGGTTCCTGGGCAGAATGAAGTATCATTTGCTTGCTGGTTTTGGAGGACATGAATTATTCATTTCCCTTTCCCACTCCATGTTCAGAGATGTAAGTGTGTGGGATTGCCTGCTGAAATGACCCCAGTGTGGCATTTGGAAACAACATTTAAATAATAAAAAAAAAATCATCTTGTTCCATGTTGTCAGTGGCAGAGTCAGTTGTTTTGTGAGGTTACAGGCTGAATATTTCTGAATGAACACCAGAAAGGTATTTGTTAATGTGTTTGACCATTAAACAAATTCTACATCTACTCATATTCAAATTATAAATAAATAACACTCAAAGTTTAATTTGCAAACAGATATCATAAACTGTCAATAAAAAATACTTATACATTTATAAGGTCCTGCTTATTAACATTAGTTAACATGAACAACCAATGAGCAATATTTTTACTGCATTTATTCATCTTTAATTAAAAACAATTCCTTGTTTGTTCATGTTAGTTCACACTGCATTAACTAGATACACTTTTGATTTTAAAAATGTATATGTAAATGCAATTAACATTAATATGAACAGATGCTGTAAAAGCGGTTTTACTTATTGTGAAATGTTATCAAAATACTTATACAGCATTTACTAATTAATGTTAATATCTGCACATACAAATACATTTGCACCCCTTCAACATGTTAACATTAGTCAGTGCAAACAGTATATTATAGTTTATAATAAATCAACATTAATTAATGCTGGTAAAAATGTTGTTTGTTGTTAGTGCATGATACTTAATGCATTACCTAATGTAAACACACTGAACCTGACTGTAAGCTGTTAACTAAGTAGTACTTGTCATTTTCAGCAGAAAGAATCTGTAGAATTGTCCACAATCATTTCTGTTAAATTAAATGAAACAATCTCAACACATTTCTATAGTCTGAGATCAGAATCAAACATCCCCGGAGGGACCAGATTGTAATTTGTAAAACCACTCAGGGCCTGGAAACGGCACACCATACAAACAGAGCAATTTTATGGGCTATCAGGTATTTAATATCCTGGTATCACTTTTACAACAGAAGGGCCATCTGTTTTCTATTTTAACCTGTACAAGAGAGTGAACATTAGTAATTCTTTTAGCAATCAAGCTGACAGCTCTTATATAAAGGCCTCTCAGTGTGCATTATTTATATATCTCCTCCTGCCGTTCCACCCGTTCATTAAACTGCATTCGAACTTCTCGCCCACAGCTAATCTAAATATAGATTTTTACCTTTAATTGTCTTTCTGCTGATCTTGGATCATTTTCTTAGAAAAAATCCAGGCCTGAAGAAAAGCAACACTGCCTCAAGATCAGCGGTATGAGACTGATTCATATATTTCTGAACGGCTCAGGAAAACATTGTGAAACGGTTGTTCCTGTGTTGATTTTCCATTTGCACTAATGGTGCTGTCATTGCAGATGCTCTTTTGTATGAAGAAACGCATGTTCCTGTCTAACGGCTAGAGAAAGATGGAGAGGCCCTGGGCGGGGGGGTTGGGGGGGGGATTTCAGGCCTGAAGAAAAGCAACACTGCCTTAAGATCAGCGGCACCGATCAATAGTTGTAAATACACTAGAGCGGTTTGTGTTAATGCAGATTAATTTGCATAAAGCATAAATGTCTGTAAATGGAAATGTACTATTATATTCAGTATCAGGAATGGGAAAATCAGTTTACAGTTAAAATAAATTGATAGAGTCAATTTGAACACTTAAATGTGTTAATCTCAAGTCAGCCTAATCAAACTGATTAGTACATTTCTGAGAACTGCTCAAGAAAACGTTGATTTTCTGTTTGCGCTAGGCTAACTGTGTTGCCATTGCAGATGCTCGTTTGTATGAAGAAACGCATGTTCCTGTCTAACAGCGAGAGAGAGATGGAGAGGCCCTGTCACAAGCAGATGAGTGTTCATTACTTTACCCTTGACGGGGGGTTTGGGAAGCGGGAAAGAGATTTCACGCTAATTTGTGGGATGACACCATAGCCATTTACAATATATATGAAACAAACAGACCATAACACCCTTGATAACACTTTGGCCCTTTTTAAACACAATTTTGAGGTAACTTGTGATTTAATATCTCCCTGTATGCCATAAAACAGATCAAAATTGGTGGATATTAAAACAAAATAAGAGTGAATGGCTTGCGTGTCATAAAAAATAAAGGATATTTTTCCCCACACGTCATGTATAATAAAACACAGCTGTTAGTTAATACAGTTATTGTGATCTGCTTTGAGCAAACAGTTAGCTGAAATACTGAAATAAGAGTAAAATCTTCCATCTAAAGACAATGTCTACCTAAAACACATGACTCAGAAATGTAATTGAATTTTTTTCTAGCACTTCCTCAGGAATGACACCTGTTGATTAGAATTGCTGAATTAACTTTCCAAAAAGCCCAATAATTGTAAACAGAGACATCCTTACCTTAAAGCAGCGTCCTCGTTTCCTTCGGCAAGCATGTTAGACTTAGGTCCCCTTACATACGTGAGCTTTGAGTGATGGGCGCTTTTTCGAGAAAACGGGATTTAGTCATCAGACATGCAGCTTTTTCCTCAGACGCTTGTCAGATGTAGGGGGCCGGCCGGTCTCTCTTTGAGACGCATAATTAGGATGCAGGCTGAAGAAAGGACAGCCCAGCTTGATAAGGGTTGGCATGCAAATGGATAAGGAGACAAAGAAACAAGCAGCACAGAGAGAGAGAGAGGGAGAGCAAAACACTGTATGTTCCACAGACCACAACACTTTTTGCTTTAAGTGTTGGGTATCATTATTGCGTCCACTGCTCGGGTTGGCTGAGGTAGTCGAATAGCCTACATTGAGGTCCGCAAATGAGGAAATAGAGGGGAGAGAAATCTGCGATTGATGCTCAGCAGTTCAAAGGCCTTCCCAAACCCTCTTATCTTTCCCGCCACAGAGGCAGCTCAGATAAAAGAGCAACCAAGTGTTGGACAGAAACATGGATTCGTGAGATGTACATGTACACAAACCAGCAGGGTTCAGTGTGTTGAAGAGTGTGTACAGTCCTCCATTCACGCTTAAATTTAAGACCGCTGTGAGAAGGCTTGATTTTAGATTGATAGAGGGTTATTTTTAGTTTTTTTTTAAATTTAGCAATGCTAGGAGACAGTAGAAAATACAGTGGGGCCCAAAAGTCTACAAAAAAAAAATGCTTGTTTTGCATTTTTCAGTTTCTTTCTCTTCTAAATTTTAATTGTAAAAAATGATTTGTCATTTTTGGTTCATGTTTGTCACTAAATATTTATATAAATAAATACAAATAATCTCTCTTTCGCATTTTTCGAATATATTTTAATTCTAATGTTCTATTTCACCACTAAATAACTTGGCAATGCCAACAGGACATGGCACAAAATTTGGAGAAGATACAGTGGGGCCCCAAAGTCTACCAAAAAAGGGTGACCAATTAAAATGCTTCTGTTTTGCCCTTTTCAAAAAAAATGTCTAAATTTTAATTGTAAAAAATGAATTTTAATGCCAATTTTGCTTCATGTTTTATAATTATATAAAAATACAAATAATATCTGTTTCTCATTTTATCTAATATATTTTATTATATCTATTTTTTTTAATGTAAAACAGTAGTTGTTATTTTTGGTTAATTTTCATCACTAAATAACTTAGCAATGCTAATAGGATATGCTAACAATTTTTCTAAAAAAAAACAACTATTTTAAATGTAGAAAGTATTTATTAGTTTTGGTTAATGTTTCTCATTAAATAATTTAGCAGTGTTAGAGGGTTATGGCAAAAAATGTGGGGACCACAATGCTGTTTCCATTGCATTGTTTGCTGTCGCTTGATCTTACGTTTAGGTTCGTCAGTCCATTAAATCACTTATTGTACAAAACCATGATCCGCACTCACATGAAAGTCTTTTCTTTTCGTTTTATTCTACATTTATCACCAATAGGACAAGGACACGAGCAAAATCTCTTCTGGTTATTACTACCTCGATCTAGAAAGAATAATGGCAGACTTTGCATTTTGTGGTAGGCAGATGCGAACCGTCATCAATCAGTGATGCTCTGAGACTCTGCAGATAAGGGAACTCCGTGCTATTTTAGGCCTGATGCTCTCTAAGACAGCAGGGTCTCTCCCTCTTAGATTCATCATGCTGAGCTGAGTATCAGCTATTTTATTCAGTTTGATCTTGCGAGAAGACCACTCGTTCAGCAAAGAATTTTGCACTTAAGAAGCCCAAATATAGTCACTGTCCTTGAGTGCAGGAAGGGGATGTTTTTTAATTAACACTCTCAGTGGGTCACAACTAATAATGTGCAAATAGATTAAAAAATAAACCGCCATTCTTACACGAGTAATATCTTCGCTTTGAAACCCCTCGCTCTGAGAATATTTAGGTTGATTAAATCGCTATTGTTTCACAATTGTATTTGAAGTCTTCAGAAATTGACATTATTATTGTTTTACAAGCAGTTCTGTCGGAGCTATGAAAAGGACACATTCTGTGGGGGAGAGATGTTTTAATGGAAGATAATGAAGGTAAGTAAACGAGAGAGGTTATCGTGTAGCACAATCTCCAGATGACCTGCAGTTCTTTTACTCTGACGCTGCTTGATGACACATTATGGCCATAAATTACCTTAAGTGCTAAAGAGTGTTCCTGCCGAGGATAAAGGTGGCCACTGGGAATTATCCAGCCTGCAGGCTAATTTCCTTTCCTTCCGGAACGTCCCACAGGGGTTAGTGACCGTTTATGTCCATCGCTGTGTACCTGCAGAGACGTTATTAAAAGCAAATCTACCTTCATTGTGTCTGAAGTATCACGTAAGCTGCAAGGACCTTTTTAATATGGTTGAACAAGGGAAAATGTCATCTTGGGATGGCAGTTTCAATGAACATGGTATAAAATGAGACCTGCAACCCTAAATATTAAATGAGATATTTTATTTTTAATTCATTTTCTATGGGTTTGCCATTTTTGCAACCTTGTTAACAAAATGTTGCTATTATAGCTGCATGATATTTATAATTTTCTAGTAATATATTTATTTAAATGATTAAAAATTAAAAAGATATTAAATAAAAATGATATAATATATAATTAAATAAAATTGAATGTATCTCATACAATTAAATGTAAAATATAAAATGTATTAAAATTAATTATATATAGGTAAATAACAAATATAGATACATATAATATGTAAAATGCTTATATATAACAAGTGTTGCAAGACATATTAGCTCATTTGGGACCAAATGTTGGTTTGTGGTTCTCAGTACCTCAGAAAAAAGAAAAAATATTTGTTTTATCATTTTTTTTTCTTACCATAACTTGGGTATCAGGGTTGAGCTCAGCTTGCCAAATGTAGTCAACACTACAATATTTGTTTAAGAGCAACAAACTTCTTCCTGAAAATAAAATAAATAAGAGACCACAAAAGTAAACTGCAGATACAACTGCTTTCTGTTGTATGAGGACATTTCTTTAAAGGACAACATCAGAAAATGTAATGATAGCTGTTTCTTCCTTCCTTTTTATTTGAATTTTTTTTCCAAGAGCCACTGAGAGTGTTTGTTCTCCTCCACAGATGCAAAGCACAGCCCAGAGTGTTTTCGCACTGCTGGATATGCGTGTATGGGAATCCGACGGCTATTAGTCCACTCAGCTTTGGGATGTGGAGACATTGTTCCATACGAGGTCCAAAGTGCATTTTCAAAACAAAGGGCCATGTAAGAACAATCAAGCAAACAAATCTCTATCCATATCATCTTAATTTAGAGCAATTATCAGATCACCTTTCTCTTCTCCATAAATATCAAACCAGAAGCTGAACCCTAATGATCATCACACAGACACTAAATAAAAAATAATAATTGCCTCAGGTTAACCACACTCCAGCTCATGTTCCACATATGTGACCCTGAACCACAAAATCAGTCATAAGGGTAAATTTTTCGAAATTCATCACCTGAAAGCTGAATAAATAATCTTTCCATTGATGTAAGGTTTGTTAGGATAGGACAATATTTGGCAGAGATACAACTATTTGAAAATCTGGAATCTGAGGGTGCAAAAAAACTCAAAATATTGAGAAAATCGCCTTTAAAGTTATCCAAATGAAGTTCTTAGCAATGCATATTACTAATCAAAAATGTTTTATATATTTAATATTTTAAAAGTTTTGATATATTTACAGTAGGAAATTTACAAAATATCTTCATGGAACATGATCTTTACTTAATGTCCTAATGATTTTTGGCATAAAAGAAAAATCTATAATTTTGACCCATACAATGTATTTTTGGCTATTGCTACAAATATACCCCGGCGACTTAAGACTGGTTTTGTGGTCCAGGGTCACATATTAGATGGAGACATGAATAAATGAACTCAACTCAGCAGTAAAACATGTCGTGGAGGAAGTGTGTGCTAGTTGAGAATCCACTCTGCGTTCACTCAAAACCAAGCCTAGAAACTTCCTAGCAGCTCTTGATAGGCCATTGTCTAGCAGATAAGCAAATTAGGTTGTATGCTGTTCATTCATCATTAGATATTTATTGAATAATTAGTTAAATAATCCAAGTTTGTCTGCGAGTTCACGATCTGAGGGTGCAAAAAAACTCAAAATATTGAGAAAATCGCCTTTAAAGTTATCCAAATGAAGTTCTTAGCAATGCATATTACTAATCAAAAATGTTTTATATATTTAATATTTTAAAAGTTTTGATATATTTACAGTAGGAAATTTACAAAATATCTTCATGGAACATGATCTTTACTTAATGTCCTAATGATTTTTGGCATAAAAGAAAAATCTATAATTTTGACCCATACAATGTATTTTTGGCTATTGCTACAAATATACCCCAGCGACTTAAGACTGGTTTTGTGGTCCAGGGTCACATATTAGATGGAGACATGAATAAATGAACTCAACTCAGCAGTAAAACATGTCGTGGAGGAAGTGTGTGCTAGTTGAGAATCCACTCTGCGTTCACTCAAAACCAAACCTAGAAACTTCCCAGCAGCTCTTGATAGGCCATTGTCTAGCAGATAAGCAAATTAGGTTGTATGCTGTTCATTCATCATCAGATATTTATTGAATAATTAGTTAAATAATCCAAGTTTGTCTGCGAGTTCACATACGAGGTGAGGGGTGTGAATAGATCAGCAGTTAATTGGTTACATTTGTGTGTCCAAATTTAATCGTGGTGCCGTTTTGTATTTGTTAGGATCTGCACCGAGGGTCAGTCTTTAAATGCCATTGTGTTGGTTTACTTGGAGTTGTAGGCGGCCACTCGTTGGTTGAGGGGGTTTTCCGGAGACTTTGTCCACTCTTTCTTGAGCTGTTGTTTTAGCTGGGAAAGTCGCATATTGGGGTTCTCCATTTTAAGGCGTGCCATGTTTGCTTCTTCAAACGCAGCGTAGGCAGCTTTCATACGACGCTCAGGGTGTCGATCCAGGTCTTCCTTAGTGCTGAAAAACAAAGGCATGAACCAAATGTAGAACAACATCTAGCTTTAAAAAAAGGCAAAAAAAAATTATTATTACGTCAGTACTGGTCAAATCTATATAGTGAATGTGTTAAATTATGTTCTTAGCCTTTCCTTCATGTGACGGGGTGGCCCAGAGAGAAAATAATTTTTTTGCACAACATGGGATTTTTAATTATAAAACTCCCCCAAAATACACTGGGATCCTTATTTTGAAATGTCTATGTTTTATACTTCCAGCAGCTCATTCAAAGTATTAAGGCTAGAAGGGATAGAGCAAAAACTACTGGGTATGTGCACATCAATACAGCAGAATTTTTCTCGCACTGTACAAGGGGTAGGTGTAGACGTTAATAAAACACAATCTAATAGTTAGACATTTTTATTTATTGCTAGCTTCCGCTGCAACCCTTCTAGAAATAACCCATTGAAAGTTGTGGGAGAAAAAATATGCACTCTTATATCAATCTACATAATATTACAATATAAAACCATTGCCATAATTCATCAACAATAAATCACAAGCAATCTCTTGTGTAAATAAATAAATAAATAAATGCCTGGAATTAATTGATTGCAAACTGCTCTGAAACTGCGAGCCTGTAGAACGTGCAGCACATATATTTATTAATTAAATCATAGGCTTTTGAATTTTAATAACTGCATTAGGCGCATCATGATTCCTATTCCCCACTTAAAATTCAAGGCATCTAAAATGATAGTTAAGCTTTTTGTTGTACCATTTAAGATAATAAATATTAACAAGTCTTAAGATATTTGAAACTTTATCACCTTAAAAAAAACAGATTTTAAGACATTTTCTAAGACGTTTTTAGAACAGCACTTAAGAGCACAACAATCTGAGAATTGACTCTTACAAATGTAGACTTTAAAAAAAATGTATACTGTATGTAATGTTTGTAAAACAAGAGTCTCCTAATCACTCCAAACATGTCTTTCTCTAGAGAACAAGATACCTGAGAACTGCGATGGCATCCTCAATGGTTCGGGCCTCCACCGTGCCTTCTTCTGGAACTATCTGATTGACATTCTCCTCAAGCGGCATCTCCAAGTGGCTTTTCTCTGTAGATTCGAAAGGATACAGAAGACTAAATGAGAAAACCAAAAAGGCTTATTCAAAACAGCAAAACAATAAGACAGGCCAAATTTTACGCTTAGTGTGAAAATAAGTGCATCTTGTTTTATTCATGCACACTGCATACAAAAAAAATGTGCACTGTACTATGTATGAATTTTGACCAGCAATACAATTTATTTTGTTGTGACTCCTGATGTAAATAGTGCTTAATGTCAGCATGAAATGAAAATTCACTGCATTTATTTTCTAAATGTAAATGTTACAATGTGAACCATTCTCCATTGTATTAATCTCATTTTTAATTTATTTCCTTATTTGACGGTGTCATTTTAAATCCCAATATTATAACTTCTTTGATGTTCTGAAGAAAAATGACAGACTTCCCTCTGGACTTAAACCCTGCCCCTTTCTTAAAATCAACTGAAAGCATGCAATCACATCCGCCTCCATCCAATGAACCATCAAACGGATTGAACCAAGTCCCTGCTTGTCATTTTTTCCTTTTTCGATAACCTGTTTTATTCAAATTTACACCATAATATGAATTACGTTTCACTGCGACTTTAACTTGTCAGGGTTTCCTTAACAATTGGAATGATACAGTGTGACAAACAAAGAATATAACAATAAAACATGGCATAAAATATGTTTTAAAAAAGTGTTTTTATGCTTATTAGTGTTAGGGCTTTAATTCATCAACATGCAAATGTAATATAAATATATAGATGGCTTTTTTGTGTGACACACAGGGTCACTGCCTAATGCATTGAAATCAGCCACTTGTGAGGTTTTGTGATGGTTAGCATGTTGCCTGTGTAGGAAGCGCTCTACATTGGATCGGATTTGGCCTTACCTTTTTCCCTGGTTTCCTTAACATTTTGCCCACTTTGTAGGTTCTCCTCAATCTGGGCTCGAGTCACTTTACTAGGGGCTTCTTTTGTCGGTTTACCCTTTATCTTGGCATCTTCTTCCTCTAAGAGCCTTTGCTTTTCTCTCTTCCTCTCCAGAGCCTCCAAACGCTTTCTCTCCTTATCATCCTGTACACACGCACACACACACTCTTTTAAATTACAACTGGACTGATGTTATCCAGGCAGCCTGACGGTCATTAAGCAAATGTAAGTGTAAACTACAGAGCAGAGTAAAGAAATTAGAGATGCCTCCTGCGCGCTCACAATCACTCTGTGTCAGCGCGGCGGGTAAGTAATGGTTGCTAGGATCAGACATGGTCTTAACGGTCCACATCCTAACCACCCAGCCACCTTCCTGTTGATAACATCTGCAGAAATGGTGACACAACAGTAAGGAGATACGCATAATGAGATGACACCTTCAGATGTCGAGCAGAGGCTGAAATGTCATTCGCGTGACACCGATAAGCCGCACGGCAGGCCGCGCTCAAGAGCAAACCAAGATACGCTCCTCTCTCTTGACATTCTCACATATCTACCGGTGATAAATTATATTCGCCGAGCCCGATCTTCACCGAGTCCCAGGCAGTGGCTGATCTTTGGGAGATGTAAAGGATAAATCAGTGTGTTTCCAGTGCAGGTGAGCTTGCTTGAACACACACAGCGGCCCCAGTGACATGAGGTATAATTAGCAGAATGACTGCAGTAGGATAACAGCAGCGTGGGTCTGATAGGCCGGCGGGGATCAGATGGCAGCGATGGGAGGAAACAGGAGGAAAGGAACAGGGTGTGAGGAGCTCTTTACCAGAGCGCCTTACCAAGTTGGCTGGCACATCATGCCAACGTTGCGGACGCTCAATGCATATGCCAACACCGGTTCAATAATGTATGAAACAGAGGCAGGAGAGAGCCGGGGAGGGAGGAAAAAAGGCACCAGTGGCCACCAGAGACCTTTCAAATATTTAGACTACCAAAATATATTTGAATAATTAAAATAAAAGAGTTTTGATATAACTAATATATATATATATATATATATATATATATATATGGCACTTTGCTATAAGCTTGTCCTCAATCATTTCTAAAAAAAAAAAGTTTAAACAAAAACAGTCAACAATTACTTACCCTCATGTCATTCACAGCCTATATGCATTTCTTTCTTCTGTGGAACACAAAATAATTTTGAATAATATTTAGGGGCGTATTTAATGAATTGGGGGCCCTAGGCAAAATATAGGAATGGGGCCCTATACATTTGCACACATTTTCCTAGATCAACCTTGAGGTTCCTTTTTTGTTGTGATGCTGGCTGCTGCACAATGGTGCCCCATAGTTGTGTCCAATGTTTCTACATTTTATAATGGCTTTCTTTCATGTTGTAGACCACGAAATAGCAACTGATTTACAGTTGAGATACAGGTTTTCACAAAAACAAAATAAATAAAAAAAAGATAAACCTCACAATTGAGCGTTTAACAAAAACTACAGACTGGATTATTGAAAATTAATATTCATTCTCTGCCAGTAGGAGGTGCTTTTGGAACGTCAGAAATATAGAATGAGAAAAGTGTAAAAATATAGCCTATATTGACGAGGAAAGTCCACTGATGAGTTACCAGCGTAAGCCTGTGTGCAAAGGCTGTCT